GATGTCCATTTGGGTGAATTAAACAGAACTATATGAAGCTCTTTAATAAAGGTTTTGAACGCTATGCACTAATGTGAATACGAAGAAAAGATAGTGTGCTTAGGCTGGGTGTGGTGGCTCACACGTGTAATCCCAGCACTTTGAGAGGCCAAGGCCAGCTGATCACTTGAGGTCAGGAGTTCAAGACCAGCCTGGCCAACATGGTGAAACCCCATCTCTACTAGAAATTCAATAATTAGCCAGGCGTGGTGGTGGGTACCTGTAATCCCAGCTACTAGGGAGGCTGAGGCAGGAGAATCGCTTGAACTCAGGAGGCGGAGGTTGCAGTAAGCCGATACTATGCCATTACACTCCAGCCTGGGATACAAGAGTAAGACTCTATCTCAAAAAAAAAAAAAAAGAAAAAGAAAAGAAAAAACACCAGGAGTGGTGGCATGTGGGCATGTGCCTGTAGTCCCAGCTATTTGGGAAGCTGAAGCAGGAGAATCACTTGAACCCAGGAGGCAGAGGTTGCAGTGAGCCAAGACTGTAGGATTGCACTCCAGCCGGGGCAACAAGAGAGAAACTCTGTCTAAAAAAGAAAAAAAAAAGATAGTGTGCTTAATGATTTAGTATCACACCAGTAGTTACACCAGTTAGTATTAGGACTTTGGATAAGCATATCAAATCTTTTTGTTTGTTTGTTTATTTGTTTGAGATGAGTTTTACTCTTGTTGCCCAGGCTGCAGTGCAGTGGCATAATCTCGGCTCACTACAACCTCCACCTCCTGGGTTCAAGTGATTCTCCTGTATCAGCCTCCTAAGTAGCTGGGATTACAGGCGCCTGGCTAATTTTTTTATTTTTAGTTGAGACAAGGTTTTTCATGTTAGCCAGGTTGGTCTTGAACTCATGACCTCAGGTGATCCACCCACCTCGGCCTCCCAAAGAGCTGGGATTATAGGCGTCAGCTATCATGCCCAATCAAATCATACGTTTAAATTCCATGCCTGTCGAGTGTTGAACAGTGAGAACACATGGACACAGGGAAGGGAGCATCACACACTGTGGGGGCGGGGGAATAGGGGAGGGTTGGTGGGGGGTGGGGAGTTGGGGAGGGATAACATGGGGAGAAATGCCAGATATAGGTGATGGGGAGGAAGGCAGCAAACCACACTGCCACGTGTGTACCTATGCAACAATCTTACATGTTCTTTACTTGTACCCCAAAACCTAAAATGCAATAAAAATAAATAAATAAATAAATAATGCCATGCCTGTAATTGAGGATAATAACCAAACCATCAGGGTTTGGGGTTTTGCCTTACTTGCAAGGTATTAAGTTATCCTGTTAATATTTTAATGGATACTGCCAGAAGACATAACAGTCTTGGATTGGAGACAAATAACTTTATTACTTCTGACACAGCCAGCAGCATGAGCATCATGTTGGTGTTGGTTCCCCAGGCCTCCCAAGTCCCACAGAGGTGGTGCAAAGGGACCATGGTAGATGTCACACACAACATGGGTTTGTATCATAGCCAGTGAACCCTGAGCTTGGGAATCCATTTTAGCAAACCTGTTCTTTGTCCCAAATTGACACTTACATCTTCTTTCAAATATGCCTCCTGCAAACACACCACGAAAAATATCCTGGATAGAGTGGTCATAGTGGAATTTTGGCCTATCCAGAAGATCGGAGAGGGACACTCAGGGCCTATGACAGATCTCCCGAATTGTTGTGACGGTTTAATTAAGGAGATCGGTTATTGTGTGGAAAGCACTGTTCCTGACACGTAGTAAACCTTACCAGAGAAGGTGACTTTTGAGCTGTTTCCAAACATCCTGAGAGATCAATCTTTGGGAAAAGGTGAGGAAAGGATCCTCTCAGTAAAGGAAATAGTGTTTGCAAAGATGAGAGATTTACATAGGATGGTTAAACAAATTCTGAATCCTAGTGGATCAGAGAAAGATCAGAGCTGTGAGTCAGTGTATGTTAGAGAATGCATGTTCACCAGTCCATTTCTTCCAGCCACAGTCATCCACGTGAGTGCTCTTAAATTGCTGTGCTGTGTCATTGCACACTGACATAGCACATCATGTGGAGCTCAGTGTGCAATGACATAGCACAGCGATTTAAGAGCACTCACGTGGATGACAGTAGCTGGAAGATCTGGTAAGTAATTTAGAGTCAAAGGGAAAAGGAATGAATTTACCTATAGACTGGGATTACTTGCAGGTATATCTAGGAAGGCAGGACAAGTTCAACCCAACTTACTTTTCAAAGTTCCTTCCAGACTGAAAGCCTGATGTAGCTATGTGTTCTGCTGAAGTATGTTGGATTGAAATAGGTGACGAATGGAATGGAATGGATGTTAAAATATCTGATAACTACATGTAACCTGTTTCATTAATTCTTTAATTTAATTTAATTAATTTTTTGGGGGGGACATGCTCTGTCACCCAGGCTGGCATGCAGTGCTGCAATCTCAGTTCACTGCAACCTGGCCTCCTGGATTCAAGATTCTCCCACCTCAGGCTCCCAAGTAGCTGGGAGTACAGGCGAGCACCACCATGCCCAGATAATTTTTGTATTTTTAGTAGAGATGCGGTTTCACCGTGTTGGCCAGGCTGGTCTCGAGCTCTTGACCTCCAGTGATCCGCCTGCCTTGGCCTCCCAAAGTGCTGGGATTACAGGCGAAAGCCACCATGCCCAGCTCCTGTTTAATTAGTTCGAAGATTAATGATTTTATTCATATTAGAATAATTCCAAAATGGATGGAGTGCGGTGGGGCTCTCTTTTTATTTTGAACAGTCTCCCAACCTAAATTTTATCTTTTATAGCATTGACATTATTCTCTTTGTATTAGTTTTGGGATTTTATTCATTCATGTATCCATTTGTTCATGATTCACTTTTTTGAAGGTCTTTATTGATTTTCTACCACCTCCATATGAATAAAATAGACTAAGTACCTACTTCCAGTCTATCTCATTCACCAGCTAAGGCCAAAAGAAAAACAAATACATGAAAAAAACTATCTCAGATTCTGACTGAGTTCTATGAAAGTAAAGAAATGGGATAATGGGAGACTAGAGGGTGGGTGGAAGGCAGTCAGGTTGAGGAGCAGCAGATAGGATGTGTGAGGTGACCCAAGGGAAAAGAGAAGTGTTTATAAGGATCATGACCCCTTCGCCAGTAAGTATTTAAAGTATGTATTTTCTAAGAATCAGGACGTTTTCTTTTGTAGCTATGGTACAGTTAGGAAATTCAGGAAGCTTAACTTTGATGTATTACTAATAACTGACAAATAGTAGATACTCCTTTTTTTCACTTTGTACTGTACTATCTACTTTATTGCAACTTATTTTTCCCAATCTAGAATCCAACCTAAGAGAATGATTTACTTTTTTTTTTTTTCCTCATACATAAGGAAACAGGCTGGGTGTAGTGGCTCACACCTATAATCCCATCACTTTAAGAGGCCAAGGTGGGAGGATTGTTCAAAACCACCCTGGCCAACATAGAGAGACCCCATCTCTACAAAGTAGTTTAAAATTAGACATGCCTGGTGACACAAGCTTGTGTTCCCAGTTACTCTGGAGGCTGAGGCTGCAGAGAGCCGTGGCCGTACGGCTGCACTCTTGCCTGGGTGACACAGCAAGACCCTGTCTCAAAAAAAAAAAAAGAACAATTGCCGCTTTTTCTGCCAGCACTGTTGTCATTTGTGCTGTTAAGTACCATTTTCATGTTAAATCTTGTATGAGTTGGATTTCTTCATAGTTTCTAGTTTCCTTGTGATTAGAATCAGATATATTTTATATCTAACATATGTATGTTTAATATATAAATATATTAACATATACTTGTATATTTATGTAATATATTTTATCTGATTCTAATCACAAGGAAACAATTAAGAATCATTGTTTTATATATATATGTACACATACATACATATATATATATATTTTTTTTTTTTTTTTTACTATTTCACTGATTTTTTTTTATTAGGGCAAGTGTATGTTCTGTAACGTATTTCACTTGCAAGCATGAAAGATGAGGTCTCCCTGTCTCTCTACACTGGCGCTCCCGGGATCTGGTCACAATATGCCACCACAGTGGGGGCAAATCACCTTCCTTTCGGACAGGAGTCAAAGCTTCAGTCAGAGGACCACCAGGTGGCATTTCCTCCTCCAGCTGTTTAATCTCTTTCCCAGCTTTCTCCCCGAAGTTTCTTCCCCTTTCTCTCTTGGCAAAGTAATCAGGATACATTGCCTTCTGGGAAGGATGCCAGGCATCCAAGCAGTTTTCTGGAACCTTGTAACACTCCTGTCTCTCATACGAGATATCCCCAGGAGAGTCAGGGAAGATGTATGGCTGTGGATGCTCACGGTACCAGAAATCTTCCTCAGCCTCCCTCAGCAGCTGGGTGGCCTTCATCATATCCTTTTCATTCTTATGTTCTTCAAACCGGGCTCTCATCAAACAAGCGAAGTATCAGTATTTGTCCCTGTAGACACACCACGACTTGAGGTGACTCAGCGCCCGCTTATAAAACCACAACACCTTCTGCTGATGAGTCAGGTAGGCCACCGGTGCAGAGAACACCATGGCGGCACTATACATATATTTTTATATCTAATTCTATATTATATGGCAGGCTCAGTGGCCCACACCTGTAATCCCAGCACTTTGGGAGGCTGAGGCAGATGGATCACATGAGGTCAGGAGTTCGAGACTAGCCTGGCCAACATGGTGAAACCCCATCTCTACTAAAATTACAAAAATTAGCTGGGCATGGTGGTGGGGACCTTAAGGCAGAAGAATAGCTTGAACCTGGGAGGCAAAGGTTGCAGTGAGCCAGAATCATGCCATTGGACTCCAGCCTGGGAGACAGTGAAACCCCATCTCAAAAAATAATACAATTTTATGTTATATATAATTACATATAATAGAATTTTATATATTTTACATATATTCTGCAAAAGTTCTCCATAGATGTACTGCTTTGCTCTCCATTCCAGGTCATCCGTTTGTCCCATCGTTGGTTCAGGTGGTATTCTCTAGATCTCTACATTATAAAGGTACTTATATTTGTAATTAAAATATAATCCTAGAGTAAAATTTTTGAGAATGTGAATATCATTCTCTCATAAAATGTTACCCAGTAGTTTTTATAGTTAGTGATGATTCTTACCTGAGCCAATTATTATATTGTGGTTCCAAATTCAGGAGATTTTGAAATTAAAAATATTTTCTCAGCCAGGCGCAGTGGCTCAGGCCTATAATCTCAGCACTTTGATAGGCCAAGGTGGGCAGATTACCTGAGGTCAGGAGTTTGAAACCAGGCTGACCAACATGGAGAAACCCCATCTCTATTAAAAATACAAAATAATTTCACTGCGTGAAGTTATTAAAAAAAAAAATACAAAATTAGTTGAGCATGGTGGCATATGCCTGTAATCCAAGCTACTTTGGAGGCTGAGGCAGGAGAATCGCTTGAACCTGGGAGGTGAAGGTTGTGGTGAGCTGAGATTGCGCCTTTGCACCCCAGCCTGGGCAACAAGAGCAAAACTCCGTCTCAAAAAATAAAAATAATCACTGGGCGCGGTGGCTCACGCCTGTAATCCTAGCACTTTGGGAGGCCAAGGTGGGTGGATCACCTGAGGTCAGAAGTTCAAGACTAGCCTGGCCATCATGGTGAAACCCCATCTTTTTATTTAAAAAAAAAAATAATTTTTTAAATAATAATAATAATAATCTTTTCTCACCCACAGGAATGATTGCTCTATTATAACCTGTGGCTAGTTTATTGAAGTAGAAAATCATTAAACTTAGATTCAGATGGGCTGATCTATAATAGAGCTGTAAGCTTTAAATTATTATTATCCTCCAAGCTAAGAAACAGGGGACTAAAGAGGACTTCAGTGGGTGTCATTGGCACGCTAGGCCAGTGAAACCTAAACCTGATCAATCTACAAGGTATGGAAGGGGTATTCACATTTCACTGGGTTTGAGCTCCTTAGAGGCAGGACTGACCAAAGGGAGCTTACCTTATACACTACCTTTGTTCACAGCTCAATGGATTTTGTGACAGCCCTGGCTAAACTCCAAGAGGCATCTAGCTGTCCCATCTGTCTGGAGTACTTGAAAGACCCAGTGACCATCAACTGTGGGGACAACTTCTGTCGCTCCTGCCTCAGTGTATCCTGGAAGGATCTAGATGATACCTTTCCCTGTCCTGTTTGCCGTTTTTGCTTTCCATACAAGAGCTTCAGGAAGAACCCCCAGCTCCGTAATTTCACTGAAATTGCTGAACAACTCCAGATTAGGAGGAGCAAGAGAAAGAGGCAGAAAGAGAATGCCGTGTGTGAAAAGCACAATCAGTTTCTGACCCTCTTCTGTGTGAAGGATCTAGAGATCTTATGTATACAGTGCAGTTTCTCCACTAAACACCGGAAGCACTACATTTGCCCTATTAAGAAAGCTGCCCCTTATCACAGAGAAATCCTAGAAGGTAGCCTTGAGTCCTTGAAGAATAATATAAAACGAGTTGAAAAAGTGATAATTCTCCAAGGCAGCAAGTCAGTGGACCTGAAAAAGAAGGTAGAATATAAGAGGGAAGAAATAAATTCTGAGTTTGAGCAAATTAGATTGTTTTTACAGAATGAGCAAGAGGCTATTCTTCGGCAGATACAAGATGAAGAGATGGACATTTTAGCAAAACTAAATGAAAACCTTGTAAAATTTTCAGATTATGTTTCTACATTAAAACATCTACTGAGGGAGGTAGAGGGCAAGTCTGTGCAGTCAAACCTGGAATTACTGACACATGTTAAGAGTATACACAACAGGTATCAAAGCCTAAAACGCCCTGAACTCTTTTCATTTAGATTAACAAAATATGGCTTCAGTCTTCCTCCTCAGTATTCTGGCTTGGACAGAATTATCAAGCCATTTCAAGTAGATGTGATTCTAGATCTTGACACAGCACATCCTCAACTTATTGTCTCTGAGGATAGAAAAGCTGTGCGATACGGAAGAACAAAACCAAACATTTGTTACAACCCAAGGAGATTTTATACCTGCCCTGCTGTCCTGGGCTCTCAGAGATTTTGTTCTGGCCGACATTACTGGGAGGTAGAAGTGGGAAACAAGCCTAAATGGATACTGGGTGTGTGTCAAGACTGTCTTCTTGGGAACTGGCAGGATCAGCCATCAGTTCTGGCTGGATTCTGGGCAATTGGGCGATATATGAAGAGTGGTTATGTTGTGTCAGGTCCTAAGACAACCCGGCTTCTGCCAGTAGTAAATCCCAGTAAGATTGGTATTTTTCTGGACTATGAATTGGGCGATCTTTTGTTTTATAATATGAATGACAGGTCTGTTCTCTATACTTTTAATGATTCTTTCACAGAAGCTGTTTGGCCTTATTTCTACACTGGAACAGATTCCAAACCTCTTAAAATCTGTTCAGTATCAGATTCTGAAGGATAAAGAACTGGTAAATGAGTCTGTTTCAGTTTTTGTCGGTAACTTAGCCAGTAAATTTAGTCTCATTTCTGGAATCTTTAAGTTTTACCACTGAAAACCAGAGTAAATTTTTCTCCTAAATTTTTGGCAACCGTAAAAACATGTTCATTGGGGGAGGGGGGTTAAATTTAAAAAAAAAGAAATTGAAAAAGAAAAAAGGCCAGGTGCAGTGGCTCACACCTGTAATCCCAACACTTTGGGAGGCCAAGGCAGGTGGATCACAAGGTTAAGAGTTCAAGACCAGCCTGACCAACATGGTGAAACCCCATCTCTAAAAAATTTTTTTTTTTTTTTTTTTTTTTTTGAGGCGGAGTTTCACTCATGTTACCCAGGCTGGAGTGCGATGGCGCGATCTCGGCTCACCGCAACCTCCGCCTCCTGGGTTCAGGCAATTCTCCTGCCTCAGCCTCCTGAGTAGCTGGGATTACAGGCACGCGCCACCATGCCCAGCTGATTTTTTGTATTTTTAGTAGAGACGGGGTTTCACCATGTTGACCAGGATGGTCTCGATCTCTTGACCTCGTGATCCACCTGCTTCGGCCTCCCAAAGTGCTGGGATTACAGGCTTGAGCCACCGCGCCCGGCCTAAAAAAATTTTTTAAAAAGTTCATAATGCCACATTCATATATGTTATGAATATCAATTGTCAAGTGCTTTGATTTCTAAGATAAAATATTTGAGAATTATATTACCTTAACATGTCCAATAAAATGTTTCAAATTGCCTATATTTTTTTAGTTAAGCCAATTTAAAGTTATATACATTATTTAAATATATTTGCCACATACCTTTCTTTTTAGTTGATTCTTCTGTTTACCCCCATATTTCTCATCAATTCTTTTCTGTTCTTTCATGTGTGTCAGTTGAAACAATTGACTTATTTTTGTGGATAATGAGGATTTCACTTTGTTTAAATCATTTCCCCACATATACTTACCTATCCACAATCCATAGTTAATCTCTAACAGTTCTTTTCTTCTTTCTGTATATCGCCTCCACTAGCCCAGTACAGCTGCCAGCCTTCCAGTCACTACCATGCTAGGAATTGACCTCTGTTCTTGGATTCTTTCTTGGCTTAAGTCTCTGCTTTCCTCTTTATCTTTTCATTTTGGGGTGTCATCAACCCAAATGTTGCAGCGATGTAAAGTTTGGCAGACTACAAGTTTGCAAATGACTTCACCCATATTTAGGTGACAGTTAAAGAGAATGTTTGGAATCATTTTAATTTTTAAGCCATGATGGTTTTGATAAGTCTGATATCAGTCTGATTCTTGATGCTCGGATACCACCGTTTTTCATAATCTAGATCTTGACACAGCACATCCTCAACTTATTGTCTCTGTGGATAGAAAAGCTGTGTGATACGGAAGAACAAAACCAAACATTTGTTATGACCCAAGGAGATATTATACCTGCCCTGCTGTCCTGGGCTCTCAGAGATTTTGTTCTGGCCGACATTACTGGGAGGTAAAGGTGGGAAACAAGCCTAAATGGATATTGGGTGTGTGTCAAGACTGTCTTCTTAGGAACTGGAAGGATCAGCCATCAGTACTTGGATTCTGGGCAGTTGGGTGATAATATGAAGAGTAGCCCTAGTGTTTGAACTTTGTTTTACTGAGTAATTAAGCTTAGTTGTGCCGGGCGCGGTGGCTCACGCCTGTAATCCTAGCACTTTGGGAGGCCGAGGTGGGTGGATCACCTGAGGTCAGGAGTTCAAGACCAGCCTGGCCATCATGGTGAAACCCCATCTTTTTTTTTTTTTAAAAAAAAGCTTAATTTAGTTTCCCTTATCCAAAATGCTTGGAATCAAAAGTGTTCAGCTTTCCAGTTTTTTGGGGGGGTTTTGGAATATTTGCTTATGCACAATGAGATATCTTAGGATGGGATGTAGTTGAAACAAAAAATTCATTTTATATATGCCTTATACACATAATAATAATTAAATACATATACATATAATTAAATAATTATACACATAATAAACAATTAAAAAGAGAAATGTAAATTAAAGATAATTTTAGCTATGTGGTTATTTTTCTTAATTATCCTGATGCTTTCATGTGTGATACATATGTCAACACTCCTAAAATTGTGCACATTAATTTGCACTTTATTTTGTGTCTATTATATCTCAGTAAAGCTGTTTAAAAATGTCCGGAAAGAGGGCAGGAAGAATAAAAATAAAAATGTCTGGGAAATTTTACTAGATTAAAGAAGGCTAAATCAAAATGACAATAAACATAAATTGACATCTGAATTTTGAAAACAAATTATAGATCGATGATTTTAAATTACTATATTTTTAAATTTTAATAACGATATGTGATTATATAAAAGACCTTATTTGGGGCCATTAATGTATGAGAAGGAAAGTTCCGGAAATGTACTTTCAAATGCTTTAACAAAACAAATGAACAGGAAAGCAATGGATATACAGAGAGAAATATTTTATCTTGTGACAAAGTTTTTTCTTTGGCTATGACAGCCAAAACTACAGGCAACAAAAACAAAAAGAAACAAGACCATATCAGACTAAAAATCTGCACAGAAAAGGAAGTAGTCGGCAAAATGAAAAAACAAAATGTGGACTGGGAGAGACATTTGCAAACCAAACACATGATAACAAGTTAATATTCAAATGTATAATAGTATTATTCAGCCTTTATAAAGAAGCAGATCCTCTTTCTAACCCCGGCCCCCGACCCTACAGCTGCCAAGATGTTGATGCCTGAGAAGAACCGGATTGCCATTTATGAATTCCTTTTTTTTTCCCCCCGAGAGACAGAATCTTGCTCTGTTGCCGCAGTTGGAATGCTGAGACACAATCTCTGCTTACTGCAGCCTCTGCCTTCGGGTTCAAGCAATTCTCCTACCTCAGCCTCCAGAGTAGCTGGGATTACAGGTGCACACCACCACACCCAGCTAATTTTTGTATTTTTAGTACAGATGGAGTTTCACCATGTTGGCCAGGCTGGTCTCGAACTCCTGACCTCGTGATCCACCACTTTGGCCTCCCAAAGTGCTAGAATTACAGGTGTGAGCCACCGCACCCGGCCATAAACTCCTTTTTAAGGAAGGAGTCATGGTGGCCAAGAAGGATGTCCACATGCCTAAGCACCCAGAGCTGTAGGACAAGAATGTGCCCAATCTTCACGTCATGAAGGCCATTCAGTCTCTCAAGTTCCATGCTACATGAAGGAACAGTTTGCCTGGAGACATTTTTACTAATACCTTCCCAAAGAGGGAAGGTACCTCCATGATTACATCCAGTATCTCCATAATTACCTGCAGATTGGGCCTGACACTCTACACTGCAGCCATACAGAGACTGACAGGCCTTGGCCTAAAGATCTGGAGGGTGAGCCACTTGCAAGACTCACAAGAGGGGAAGCCGACAGAGATACCTACAGAGGGTGTGCTGTGCTCCCTGATGGCGACAAGAAAGCTGAGGCTGGGGCTGGGTCAGCAACCCAATTCCAGTTTAGAGGCAGATTTGGTGGTGCTGGTCAGCCACCTCAGTAAAATTGGAGAGGATTATTTTTCTTTGAATAAACTTATGGCCAAAGAAAAGGAGATCCTGTCATTTGTGACAACATAGATGGACCTGGAGGATATTATGCTGAATGAATAAGCCAGACACAGAAATAAAACTATTGCATGATCTCACATATATGAGAAATCTAACAAGATTGAATACATAGAAACGGGGGTAGAATGGTGGTTACCAGGGGCTGGGAGGGAGGGGAGAGGGGAGATGTTGGTCAGACGGCACAAAGTTACCATTATGCATGATGTACAAATCTAGCTAGTCTCCTTCACCCAGATGATCACTACTTAGACCAAGCTTGTCCAACCTGCAGCCTACAGGCTGCATGTAACCCAAACAGCTTTGGGTGCAGCCCAACATAAATTTGTAAACTTTCTTAAAACATTACTTTTTTGCTTTTTTTTTGAAACGGAGTCTTGCACTGTCACCCAGGCTGGAGTGCAGTGGCACGATCTTGGCTCACTGCAACCTCCGCCTCCCAGGTTCAAGCGTTTCTCCTACCTCAGCCTCATGAGTAGCTGCAATTACAGGTGCGTGCCACCATACCCAGCTAATTTTCTTTCTTTCTTTTTTTTGTATTTTTAGTAGAGACGGGGTTTCACCATGTTGGTCAGGCTGGTCTCAAACTCCTGACATGATGATCCACCTGCCTCGGCCTCCCGAAGAGCTAGGATTACAAGCATGAACCACCACGCCCAGCCCGCATTTTCTTTTTTAAGGTCATCAGCTATTTGTTAGTGTTAATGTAGTTTATGTGTGGCCCAAGACAATTCTTCCAGTGTGGCCCAGGGAAGCCAAAAGACTGGATATCCCTGACTTAGACTGAGGCCTTAGCTTGATCTTAGCCACTTCCCCAGGAAGCCTTCACTGGCGGGGTCACACTAGGGAAGGTGAACCTGTCACCTGCTCCTGTAGTCCACTGTTCTCAGCATCAGAACACCCAGGATTGCGGGGCACAATGGTCCACGCCTATAATCCCAACCTTTGGGAGGCCACAGGACGATCACTTGAGCCCAGGAATTTGAGAGATCAGCCTCCACAAAACCATGTAAAACATTAGCCAGGCATGGTGGCTCATGCCTGCAGTCTTAGCTACTCTCAAGGTTGAGGTGGGAAGATAGCTTCAGACTGGGAATTGAAAGAGACTGCAATGAGCCCTAATTGTGGCAGTGCATGGCAGCGCCCAGATGGGGTGATAGAGTGAGACCCTGTCTCAAAAACAAACACCACACTCAGGACACCTAGTAAAATGGCTCTTGCAGTGTCAGTCCTGTGACTAGATTTGTAAACGCCCTCCTCAGTGAAAGCAGAGATTGAAGCTATCCAACTGTTTGACCACAGCCATAGTTAGCATAGTATCTTGTACTGTAAGCATGTATAAAGTAACGAAATTAATGCCGCAGGAAACAGCCCAGGGCACTGAAGAAAGTGCTTGTGTTTTA